CTCGCGATAGCCGCGATGCCCGTGACAGTCGTGACGGCCGTGACAAGCGCGACAAGAAGAAGCGGGAAAAGGGCCAGAACAAGGAGCGCACCTTTGGTCACTTTGACGACAATCTCCGCCTCTGCAACACCCGCGCCTACGCCCCCGAGTTCTCCCCGCGCGAATGCAAGTTTGGAGAGCGATGCAACATGCTTCATGACCTGCGCAAGTATCTCAGGGAGGGCCGCCGCGAGGACCTCGAGACCTTTGAGGGCAAGTGCCCCGTTTACGAGCAGTTCGGAGTCTGCTCGTCCGGCTGGAAGTGTCGCTTCGTCAAGAGCCACATGAAGGAGGTTGACCACGAGGACGGCCGCAAGGAGCTTGTTCTCGTCGAGGAGCCCAAGGAGGCCACGAAGACGAGCGGCGAAGCGCCCGCCGAGACCGGTCGCGAAGATCTCCGTCCCGGCGTCTACAACAACACCGAGAACCAGCTGAAGATCGACCTCAGCCGCAAGCGCATCGACTTCACGGAGACCGATAAGTACATCTCCTGGATGAACAAGGAGGCGAAGCTGGGCGATGCGTTCCACCAGCGCCGCAAAGACCAAGTGATTAGCACCCAGGAGGACCTTCGCGCGCAGTTTGTCGACCCGCCCCTGAAGCCGTCCGAGAAGCGCAAGCTGTACTTTGGTAAGGAGACGCCCGCCCTGGCGCCCCTGACCACCCAGGGCAACCTGCCCTTCCGCCGCCTCTGCGTCGAGCTTGGCGCGCAACTCACTTACTCCGAGATGGCCCTGGGTATGCCCTTGGTTCAAGGTGTCAAGAATGACTGGGCGCTGATGAAGGCCCACGAGTCCGAGATCAGCCCGCCCCGTGTCAACCCGGACAGCAACATCGTCCAGGGCTACGATAACGCGCGCGATCTCAAGTTTGGAGCTCAGATCTCCGGCAGCCAGGCATGGCACTGTGTAAAGTCGGCCGATCTTCTTAACCGCTACGTGCCCCACCTGCGCCTCATCGACCTCAACTGCGGCTGCCCCATCGACATGGTCTTCAAGTCGGGCGGCGGCTCCGCGCTGCTCGAGGCCCACGGCAAGCTGGAGCGCATGGTCCGCGGCATGAACACCGTGTCCGGCGAGATCCCCATCACCGTCAAGCTCCGCACCGGCGTCAGGCAGAACCGTCCGACGGCGACGACCATCCTCGGCAAGCTTGCCTTTGGCTCCCGCGAGAACCGCGACCGCCTCGGCGCCCCCGGCTGCGCGGCCATCACCCTCCACGGCCGCAGCAGGGAGCAGCGGTACACCAAGAAGGCCGACTGGGGCTACATTGCCGAGTGCGCCGCCATGATCAAGGCCTACAACGAGCAAAAGGACGACATCACCGACACGGCCCGCGAGGCGGACGAGTCCACCCTCCCCAACGCCAAGGACGGCCGCATGTTCTTCCTCGGCAACGGCGACTGCTACTCCCACGTCGAGTACTTTGAGCACGTCGAAAAGGCCAAGGTCGACACCCTCATGATTGGCCGCGGCGCCCTCGTCAAGCCCTGGCTCTTTGAGGAGATTGAAAAGGGCCAGTACCTCGACAAGTCGGCGACGGAGCGCCTGGCGTACGTGGAGAAGTTTTGCCGCTACGGCATGGAGGCCTGGGGCACCGACGAGCTGGGCATCGGCTTCACGCGCCGCTTCCTGCTCGAGTGGCTCAGCTTCTCGCACCGCTACGTGCCCCTCGGCCTGCTGGAGCACCTGCCGCCCGATCTGAACGATCGCCCGCCGGCGTACCGCGGTCGCGACGACCTGGAGACGCTGCTTGCTAGTAAGAACTACAAGGATTGGATCAAGATTAGGTACGTGTTGGTTGAATTTTCTTTGCACTTTTCTGCCTGGGTGAATGCCATGTGTTCAAGAATGATTTTGCTAACTCGTATTGCAGCGAGATGTTCCTCGGTCCCGCTCACCCCAACTTTACGTTCCAGCCCAAGCACAAGTCTCACGCCTACGAGGCCGAGGGCTAGATGCTGGTCATATGGACAACATGAAAGAAGCATTAGAGTTATATCTGGACCTGGAATGAGAAGCCCGCGGGGAAAAAAATCAGAGGTGGAGGGATACCTTTCTTTCTATCTTGAGCTTCGTTCAGCGCGGAGATGCCGCGTTCAGATGTAGTTACATCCTCGACGTAACTCAAACTTTGAGGAAACATGAGATATAGGTGGAAGTGGAACAGAGAAGAAGAAGAATCAAAAGTTTTTGTTGCAATCACTTGAGAGGAAGAAATATCGTTCAGGATTCTGGTATTCGATGGCATTGTGAACCTAGTGACGTCTCTGAATCCTTGCCGTTGGATCCATTCAAACGAAGCGCGAAGCATCACCAGGAACTCAGTATCCCTTGGGTTCCCTTACAACAGCAAGTTGCCTCTTTGTTCTAATGTCCACCACAGTGAGCGCAACAGCAAGACCAGAATGCCTCTCATTCCCCCTTATTCCTGTCCTCCCGTGATCTCATTGACCAAAACTCATTGTCCTCTCCGCACCGGTATGATCCTCCGCCGTGCTACGAACTCTCCCAAAGCAAACAAACGATATGACGAAGCCCACTGCATCACCACCTCACCCGAAAGACCTCCCTGCATGCCCACCTCCTTCAAATCTGTACGATACCCCGGAAGTGGCCTCGGTCGATAGGATGGCTGGCCAGGTGTTGCCGAAAGACATTCTAAACGGAAGTAGCATTACCCTCAACGACGACCAAGGCCTGGGAGCTGTGAGTAGTAAAGATGAGCGTGGTGTTGTCATCGGCGTACGGCGTGGTGGTAGCCTTGGTGGTGACCTCGGGAAGGACGTGACCCTTCTCCTCGTCTTCGTGGGGGACCTTCTTCACAGAAGTAGGGACATGGACAGTGGCAGCGGTGACGGCGATTATAGCAGCTGTGGTAGAGTCACCGCCGGTGGTGATGGTCGAGTTGATGGCTTGGACTTCGTTGTTCACCTTGGGAGTGTGGGCGAGTGCGACCATGACGAGGGCGCCGAAGACGGCGAGGGTGGCGCACATGAGACTTAGGGTGAAGGTTTTGAAGCGGCCACTGTTTGGATTTCGTGAGTCAAAGGTTAGCTATTGTTTCTTCCCTGTTTATTGGGTCTGTAGATGTTCTTTTTTTCTGCGACGTAGTGTGATGTGATGTGATGTGATGTGACGTACGGGTGGTGAAGGCGGATGCGGCGAGGTCTGGTCTCTCTGGTCTCGGGTGCTTGGGTTTGCTCCATTGTGTGGTGTATGTAGTTGGCTTTGGAGGGGGGGAGAAGTTGTTGGTTTTGTGTAAGTTGGGATCTCTTTCTTCTCGATGTTTGGGTGCTCGGTGAAGGAAAGGTTGAGCTGGGCTTTGAAAATCGAAGGAGGCGGCTGTGTGGGCACCGGATGATTTCTTAATCCTTCGTGTGTAGTGTTTTTTCTGAAAAGGTATGGGGGTGATGAGAAGGATGAGATAAGTTAGGAAGTCGGTGGTCGAGGGTCAGGTGTAATTTTACCAGCTTGGAAGGAGACAATATCACCGTGCTCCTCCTTCTCATTACGTATCGCACCTTCCGGCGGACGACTTTTTGATCCTGCTTTCCTAGTCCGAGGGATTCAGTACTCATGGTGTCTCTACCACGAGTGCCTGCTTCGTTATTATATAAGTCCTTGCCTTTGCTACAAGGCTTCGTGGGCATATTCTACCGTGAATACATGACGATGGACTCATGCTTCAAAGGGCAATAGTGGGAGCGGCAGCCATAGAACTGATTCAAAGCTGGATAGCTGAACTACATCACTTCGACTCCAACACTTTGATTTTCCTCTTCACATTGACTGTCTGCCTACACAGATGTAGAAAGCTAAATCTATGCTGCGCCTTCTGCTTCAATGCGGGAAGACTTTCCGGACAACTTTTCTAGTTCGCAGACATCTATAAGTAAGTTGCTCCGCCTACTAACGCAGACATCTGCCGCTTCGACGCTGCGTCCAATTTCCAAGATGGCAAACGACGCGCCTCCTGGGTTACCCTGCCCCCTATGTTTAGTTCTAGGCCACTTGCAACGCCTCTTTCGAGCCACAAATATCCCCGTTGTTATCGAAGAGGCCGAAGAGAACTTACATGATGATACATACCAAGGCAGTAAGTCTCTGACAATTGAAGATGACGGCGACCCTATCCCTGATCACCTTATAGGTAGCGTCACTACCGATGAGGGGGATTTCCTGGATCCAGGAAATGGTTTAGATGAAGAAGAGACCGTTTGCAACCTTACTGGAGTGCCGGATAACCCAAAGAACTCATCTTGGCGGCTGGGTGATGCCAACACGCGCCCTTTGATTTCAGCTACATCTCGCAATCCAACTGCAAGAGATATATTGCACTCAAACAACACATCGGGTCCTTTCTGCAGATCTTGCGCAGAAAACAGGGATCACTCTAGCCAGAAGTACAGAGCGGCAGTTTCACCGTTACCTTGTTCAGGCTGCCGTCGGGACCATCCATCATCCCTCTTCTCAGTAAAGCAACGGCAAGAGGAGCCCGATACACGGATCTGCATCGGTCGAGAGGGACATCTCAGGCTCCGTGAGCACAGAACATTTGACTGGGACGAGTTCGTGCACACTTCTTCGACCACCAATGCGGACACGAGCATTACATGCAACCATCCAGATCACTTAGGAGCTTCAAAAAAGCCAGTCGGCCTCCGCGCGCGGCTTGGGATGTCACCGCACACAGCTGTGACAGGGACACCCAGTGAAGTCAAGGCAACATTCGAGCATACGAATGGCTACGCTTCCTGGGCCAGTGAAATTGGTCTCGACAAGAGGGCCCATGTAAAGATTCTCGCATACAAGCTCAGAGCACAACCGGGATCAATGTTACTTGCCAGCGATCTCTGACAACGCCTAGAGACGCAGCGGAGGCAGTCGCCCTGTCTATGGTTTCCAGAGGAGGACCCTCTTCAAATCGATGCTATGGCGTGCTTCAAGCCATTTCGTTGCATGTGCATAGTCGACGGGAACGAGAGAGAGAGAATCCAGCTGGAGGGCATCGCTGGCTCGTTCAGCTGGAATCCATCTGCAAACGAGTGTCCCCGTAAGTTTCCCCCAAAAGATTCGAGACAGAGACTTGACTGCAAGTACGAGTACTAATCGCACAGAGGCAGATTATCACAGAGAGGATCGGTGGTCTGGAGACGGCACGGCATATATACATACTGAATTCTCGCGCTGTAGTAAACACGATGGCTGCGTCATATTGTCTCACAGGCGCTCGATACGGCGGCGCATGTCTACTACCCAGGCGCTGGAGCCTTGCGACTCGCAATGGTACCAGGCTTTGGACCCTTCGTCTCACGATCTAGCCGACGACATCGAGTTCAAGAACGTGACGTGGTGCGAGGACGCGAGGTGTCGGAATTTCTACAGGTTCCGGGAGCATACCAACGTGGGCACCTCGACAAGTTGAAGGGACTTGGTCCATAGATGTTCAGGAGTATGTATGGGGTGTTCAAGTTAGTCCAACTACTGAGGAATAGTGTAGGATAAGCTCTTCTACTCGTTCCGTTAAGTTTATATAGATAGCAAAGGCAAAGTCAAAGCTGTTCCTCTCTTTAGCACTTGTCGTGTTGCCTACCCAGCAATATGATTTGGATACAAGATACGGTAAGACCGTCACTCGTTCACTCTTCTCATCGTATGAGCAAAATATCTTGATCATTGTTTAGAACTGTCTTCCTCTTAATCCATATGACAACCCTCGATCCGCGAAGAAATCCCCCCAGAGGATCAAACGTCCCCTAATCCGTCTATCACCTGAGACTAGGCACATGACACGACGGAATCAGGCCGGGCACCCGGCACCGTTGTAAGCAGTGCAAACAGCCCTGAACCTCTCGTTCGGCTGGTTAATGCCCTGGAACGTGTCCCTGCACTGCTGCTCGGTCCACTGGCTTGACGTCTTACACTGCCCATCGTAGACTGTGGTTAGCATTACATTTTCCTGACAGCCAGATATGGCAAGAGCAATGTGTATGGGAGAAAGATGGCAGACAGGCTTCACTTACGACATTGTAGTTCCCGGCGGAATTATGGCAGATGGTTCCGCCCACGGCGTCACAGAGTCTGATTGCGGCAATGACTGCGTTGCCATTGTTGAGGATTTGGCAGTGGCAGGAGAATTGGCTTGCTGCGAGCGGCACCCTGGTGGTTTTCCATTGTTAGCTTTCATCATTGTATTGTTTTGCTGTGCGGAAAGATTCTTTCCAGAGGCGGGGATGTTAATACCAAGCTGCAAGGGAAATGAGGCTGACGACGTTGAACTTCATGTTGGCTGTGAGGAAAAGTTGGATTTTAGATGATTCAAGTTAGATGCCTGATAGAAACGAGATTAACTGAGGAAGTGAGGATGATGTCTATGAGATGACTATTCTTCCAGGAACCGGGCATCGTCAGTCATCTTATACAAGTCATCAACTATCGCATCTCTTCACCACGTTCTCCTCTTTGCATCAACTTCCCACCCCTCATTCAGGCATGTTGGACCACAAACCTTCCAAGACTCCAAGATGCATGACTTCGTTGACCAAGTTCCTTGGCCTCGTAACTCCGTCCGTCCGTCAACCCAGGGCCGCAAAATGGAGCGGCCGCTTCAAGCCCTTCAACACCAGCAACATGATTCACGATACTTTTACGCGCCAAGCCGCATCCCACGCGAGCCCGAAATATACTATCCACGCAAATTCTTATCTTTCCCTACACTAGGCTCTAGAGATTGATAAAGCCAGAAGCGGACACCAGCTTTTCCCAAAATTCCCAGTATCCCCATTGATCTGCATAGACTGGGGTCCTATAAGAGGCCATGATCAACCGTGGCGCAATCAAAGTCAGCAAAAGTTACCTGTGAGCTTTCTTCTTGTTTAATTAATTATAGTATCAGACTAGTTGACAACTCCCCCCCGAAGTCTTTCTTTCGCATTTAACCGCAACTCATAACCTTAACCAGACCCAAGTTGTCAACCGTTTCTTGTGGATGGCAACTCGGCCGAGACCCCCATCGCCAAGAGCGTACCAAGGAACAACCGAACGACAACTCCAGAGTTGGACCAGGAACCTGTGTCAGTCACAGTCGACAAACAACCAATATGGAGTCGGGCTCTACGGAAAGTTTATGACCAGTCAAATGTTTCTCTAGATTGGACTACACGAGTGATTGTCGAATGAGGAAAGTTCCAGCCTCCCACGGATCTCTATAGCACGGGTTAAAGCAATATACCCGGAGTGTTTCAACTTCTTTCACCGCCGTACCGCCGTGAGAAGAGCCCATGGTGGATGTTATTTGCCAAGCAACCTGGAAAGCCTCACCTCTTCATGCTTCATCTCTTCATGCTTCCAACTCTCCCACTGGTAGCCGGCCGTCCGAACACGAGTTCGTGAGCCTGTTCGTCGGATCGCCGCCAAATTGCCAAGCCCTCATTATTGAAGTTACGCATATGATGTTCATCGGTAAAGCAGTTGAAGGAATTCAGATTTCGAACAGAAATGTAACATACCTCTGACTTTCAAGATGTATTAATACAAGAGATGTTCATCACCATATTACACAACTCTTCACCAAGATACCTCCCATCATCCAGTCCACTTCTCCAAACAAGTCCCAAGCCATCCACCCACTGCTCTACTCCTCCTTCTCTTCTTAGAAATTTCAAGAAATCTTCAATCTACACAATGCAGTTCAACATCAACACCGTGGCCCTCCTCGCCGCCCTCCTCCCCCTCGCATCCGCCGTCCCCTCGGACGCCAGCGCCGTCGAGGCCACCCTGGCAAAGAGGCAGAGGCAGTACCAGTGCGAGACCTCGAACAACCTCGGCGCCTGCAACAACGCCATTGCCAAACTGAGAGGTCACGAGGCCAGAGGCTGCGATGTCTGGTGTAAGTCTCCCTTTTCCATTCTTCCTCCCTCCACGGATACACAGACACACACCTTTAGGAAATATGACGTGGCTGACAAAAAGGGGTGGGATAGCATGCATCGGTGCCTTTGCGGCCCTGATCCCGGCTTGCGGAGCTGCTGTCGATGAGTTCTTCTTGAGTAAGTCGCTCATGTGCGGAAGTAGCGCATGGGGATTACGGCTGACTTTGATGTAGACCCCTTCGCTGATGTCGCTTGCATCGGAGCCGTGGCCAACTTCCAAGGCCCTTGCAAGGGCTGTGAGCCTTTCTAGATGGAATGAGGTTTCCAGACAGCCAAGCCTTTGAGCACGAGATACATTTTTCCCACGGTTCTTTCCCAGGGAGGGAATACGACCTCCCGGGCAGCAATAGCAAAGAGGGGCCGTCATGACTGAGATGGCGGGACTTATATAAGGACGTAGAAGAGATGCGTCATACATGCCTTTGGGTCATAGACGCATGGCTGCGAGGGTATCGAGGAACACGGGATGCGTTTGTCCCTGTTGTGAGCACGTTGTTAGTGGCCCAAATGACCAATAGCATTACTTCTTTTTTCCCATTCTGGGTGCATTTTGATGATCCGTCCAATATTACCATCCTGTAGCTTCCCGTGGCAACTGTCGTTGATACTCCTGTGAATAAATTCAGGATGACAACGGTTACGCAGTACGAGAGAGTGCTTTGGCTAATTGGGACGTGTTAGAGCAGTAAAATCGACAGATGATATCGATGCGTTAATCCTTTTTGTAGGTCTTCTTCCTGATCGGTGCATGCCTCCGAAATCGAAGTGCCAGCTGCTTGAAGCTCCGTAGAACATGGAGGGCGGGTGGCATTTTATATATCATCCAGGTCCAACAGCTGGGACAATACTGTCTTTCTGCTCGGTCAACATGACGAGGCGCCTCGGAGCAGCATCTACTTTGAGAGCATAAGTATGGAGTGGATTGTGTCAAAAGGAGAATCTTTATTAAAGCTAGAGCTTAACGCCATCCAGGCTTCCTACGTACGCCTCTATACCAGTGAAACGGGCCAATGACCCGGAGCTATTCTGTCGCTCACCCACTACCCCCTTTTATGCCGCACTCAGGCGGCGCTTTCGTTCATGTAAGAACAGTTCATTGAATCGAATATCCGTATCCATTGTGCTAAATTACTGCGCCTTCTTGTCACCCTTGGGCTGGGTGGAGGCGTACTGGTCAGAGAGCTCGTCGTAGCTCTTGTGCAGACCGGCGCTCTGCTTCTTGAGGGTCTCGAGGTCGCGGTTCTTCTCCTCAAGCTGCTTGCGGAGCTTGGCGATCTCACCGGCATCACCGGCAACGGCAAGCTTCTCGCTCTCCTTGGTGTTGCCCTTGGTGCCTTCGTAGCCGCGGACCTTGTCCTCCAGACGCATCACCTCAAGGATCATAACGTAGGTGCGGTTGAGGATGAGGGAGAGGAAGAGGGTGAAGCCGCAAAGGTACATGTTGCGCTGGGAGTAGAACTTGCGGGCTTGCACCTCAAGGCGCTCGTGACCCATGACCGCGGCGCTGTACAACATCTTTGTTAGCGTTGTGTACATCAGGGAGTTTGTAGAGTTTGATTGTAGTGCTCAATCAAGGGAGCGTCTCAGGAACGCCGGAAAGAGGGGCATAGGAGACGTACCCGCTGTTCTGGTTCTCAGTCGCAATCGCCAACTCGACTTGGACGCGGTAAACGCGGTTGACGCTGTCAATGAACAGAATCAGGATGAAGACGAATGTGATCTTCATCCAATACTGCACTTTTGCCACGATTGGACTCTCGGAGATGAAGCTGCAAAGAAGTGTACGTCAGTAATCGGTTCGGGATGATTGGTATGGGCTCGGCAGTGGAGAAGCGGTCGACGGGGGGAGGAACGTACGTGAACAACTTCCGCTTGACGGCGAAGGGAAGGGGCACCAGAAGGAGCATGAAAAGCCCCATCTCCGCCATGAGGAGCATGAACACCTGTGACGCACAAAGTCAGCACATGTAGTCAACGGCTCGGCAAGCTAGTCATTCGACCAATGGCAAAGAGGATAGATAGCAGCTTGAAGCCGGGTGCTGTAGACGTACGAGAGTGTAGTAGAGAGTCATCTTGACTGGTGCGGGGAAAGCTTCAGCTCTCGGGACAGCTAGTTAGAAAAAGGGATTGTGGTCGTGTGCTCTCCGTGGATACAGGGAGAGATGTGTCGTGCGAAGGAATACACTCGGAAGCCCAAACTGACTTCTTCGGTTGTGTTCTTGTTGGGTATCGTTCTTGGCGAGGGGAAATTTTGGTGTCTGGAGCTGTGATTTGTAGGAGTACAGTTGACGGGCTGGGCGGAGCTGGCCTTTTGTAGGATGGGCGTGAGGGTGACGATGGGGTCCGGTAATTCTGGCAAGTAAAGGTGGCAGGTACGTGAATACAAGTACCCTCTTTGACGACTGCCTGAGCACCTGAAGGTAAGGTACTGCGTAAGGTATGGAACTCAATGAGAGGAACCCTTACGTAGCCGGGACGGGAGAGGGACCTTGGCGGGAGAACAGGGCTGGGAGCAGCTAGCAAGTGCAGCTAGCAGTGTGCCAGAGCAGCCGTAAAAAAGACGTAAGTCAACAACGTCATCGGTGGCTCGTGCACACTCCCTCCCAGGGTTTGCGGAGGGAGCCACTGGGGGAGCTCAGGCACGCAGCTTTTCTATGGTCTTCTTCAGTGGTGTGCTGCGGCTTGCGGTCTTTCAGCTGAGCCCGTCGAGTGGCCTTTGTGTCCGCAAAGGTGTTCAGTGACGGCAGTGTCGTCAGCTGTCACCAGATGGGAGCACACCGGCAACTAATACCTATGAGTCTGGAGTACGACTGGCTTCTGACGCTTGTCATCCCATGTGACGTCAATCGTGGAATCGTCCAGACATGGAATGATAGCAGTGCAAAAGCGGATAGGTATTCTGACGAACTAACCCGGCCCAGAACCCGCTCATGGTCTCGCAGGTAGTATACTTTAGAGCCGTAAAGATGCCAGTTTAGTCACAAGTCTCGTCTCGTCGCGTTCACAATTCGCATTTCTTCTCTCAACGTATGCACAGCAACAGAGATGATTTGATAATTGATAGTTGATGGTCAAGAATCCTGTCGCTTACACTACCGCTACTCATGGCTTTGAACTGCGTAATCACACATCAAATTGAGGCCAAGATAACCAAGCGGCAACTCCATCCGCTCCCACTACCAAGGGACGCGATCATGAACCTGAACGCCCAGCTTTTGAGTCCTAACCGGACTTACAAACATCCCAGCCGGAACTGAATCGTACAAAACCTACAAAGAAAAATTCGTCTCTCCACTCGCCGCATCACTCGTCACACCGCTTTATCGTTCCTGCCAGATAGGTCGCCCTTCGTGACGGGTTGTTTATATATAGTTTAGTTGTAGAACACGCTCTTCTGGAAGCTCTCGGGCGAAACGTCTCCGATCTTCGTCTTGATCTCCGGTCCCTTTTCGGGAGCGGCGCCAGTGAGCGAGTTGCTTCGACTGCTGTCGCTGGGCGCACCCTTGATGGCAGCGAGAGGCTGACCAGGTCGCTTAATCACCTCGAGGTAGGTCGAGGGGAGGTAGCCGGTACGGCCATCACGCGCGCGGCACCTCCACCACTCGCTAGGGTTACCGATAGGATCGCTCTTGGAGAGAACAGCGACAAGGTCGCCCTTGCGCACTTCCATGTCAACGTCCTTGACGGCGTTGCCAGGCTGAGGAGCGTAGTCGTACAGGAGACGGCAGTAATCAAGCTTGGACGGGTCCAAGGGCTGCTGCGCGCCGGCCAGAGCCATACGGCGACGTTCCTCTTCTTCCGCAGATGCAGCCATGGTGTTGATCATTTTGCGCATCAGGTACGGGAGACCGAAGGCGGCAAGGAGGAAGAAGAAGAGCGGCTTGCGGGAAGCCTTGGGGGGTCCCAGGGGAGCACCGTCGGGGCCGATGGGCGATCGGCCTTCGAATTTGGCAAAGGCTGCTGGCGTGAGCGCGGTCGCGTCGGCTGGAGGCGGGCGGCCGGTGATCTTGGCGATGAGGGTTCGGATCCAACGCATCAAGGTGAAGATACCGAGTATCGAGCCCAAGGTATCCCTAAGGTTGCTGAATTGCTCTGCTACTGACACCATTGCTGTGATATCTGTTAGTCATACTTCGCTTTCATGTGACGCAGTTGACATACCAAAGAAGCTTGAGTGTGTGGCCATGTATGTGCTCTCCAACATCTGGGCAAAGCCTCCAAAGGCACCAACGATGCCTTCCAACATTTGGAATGTCGCCTGCGTGCTGTTGTTGAATCTGTTGGTAAGGCTGTTCGGGTCGTTGGGCCCTCCCATGCCTCCCATACCGCCCATGCCCATACCGCCGCCGTACATGCCTCCTCCATACATACCACCGCCGTAGCCACCGCCATACATGCCACCACCGTACATACCACCGCCGTAGCCGCCGTAGGAACCCATCCTTGAGTATGGGCTGCTGTAGGGAGAAGAGTAGGCACCGCCGCCGTATGAGCCGTAGGGACTGGCGGCCGCACCTAAGCCTGCTCTGCTATAAGCGGCAGCGTTTTGGTCAACCGTGGAGGCGAGAGAGGCAGGTCGTTCGGGAACGGCGGGCGGGGTACCACCGGAGAGGGATGTGGCCGGTGTCGGGGTCGCGATAGATGCGGCAGACATGGGTGTGACTAGAGTGGTCGTTAGCAAAATGTGTGAAATTGGCGACGGTCAAGGACCGTTTGTGGTGTTCAACGCACTTGAGGCAGCTGTTGTTGGAGCACCGGCCCGTTCCCAGGGCTTTGGAGGGGAAGCCATAATTACTTTTCCCGCGAGGAAGAAGTTTTCCTTGGATACTGTGTGGTGGTGGTGGTCGCTGGCTCGGCGTTATCTCGCAATCCGCCTATCGGGAGCGCAGCCGGTGGCGATTTTCTCGAGTCGTGTTGGTTTGCCGGTTGCTGCACGCTGGGGCTGCGGATATGCGCGACGGAGGCTGGCGTTAACCGGCCAAGTCGTCGGGTTGAACTGACAATCAACCTCAATGGGAGATGCAGTGAAAATGAGGATTCGAACGACGTTTTGCGACGTGTTGGAGAGAGGAGAGGGAAAGATAGGGTCGGGGATGGGCCACGGGTAAAAGAAAGCTGGAGGGTCGCTGGGATGGCGGAACGAGTTGGGCTCGCAGCGCAATGCACCTGAGTAATAATGGGGGGCCGCGGCGGACGGGGACTCAGTCACAGTGCTGGGCAAGTGACCCCGGAGGCTCGTGCTTGGCGATTGGCAGTGAAGTGAGGTGGATGAGGTGAGGAGAGGAAACTGGAGACTTTGGCCTTTGGGGGAGGCTCGGGAGAGTCAGCGGTTGGAGGCGCAGAATATCAAAAAGATGGGGTCGGGGATGGGCGGGTCCCGCTCCTCGTTTCTGCGTCCAGTGGCTTCCATTCTTGCCTCGGTATCTTTCACGTTAGTTCCGACGTGGGCGGCCCAAGCCTCGCACCCGCGCCGCAGTCACGTCCTTCTGCCGAGGCATCTTGCACCCTGGGGAAATTTGTTGTCCCTCCCGTCGCCATTTCGCATTAGCTTTACCGTTTCCAAGACTCTTGAATCTGGGGTTTCCCCGGTTGTTTGGGGACTCGACGCTTTGCTGGATTTGCTGATCGACGATTCGTGCTGCAGAGTCGTTGCATTACTTTACTAGCACTAGCATGCTATCTCGCCGCGAACCAAGTTGATCCGCCCTTCAATTATTTCACCAACATAAAATGTTCGATACTCAATCCTACTTTCAAACATAGAAGCAATCCAAAAACAAAAACCATTAACATGATTTCATCCATCAATTATTTTTTACTTATTGCAAGCTAACAAGCCGATCTAGCATAGTAGACCAGGACCTACGACAGTCCAGAAAAGGCCTTGGCATTCTTCACATGCTCCTCCCACGTCGTCAACTTATCCTCAACAATCGCGTGCGACTCGTCCAGCTTCTCCCCACCATAGTACCCAAACTCGTCGAGCAGCCTCATGTTCTGCAACATCTCCTCAGCCACGAAATCCGGCATCCCCTGGCCCTTGAGCGCGCCCTTGAACTGCTCGTGTGTGAGCTCGTTGAACCGCGCCGTCTTGCCCGCCTCCGGGTACACCTTCTTGAACGTCTCGACCGCCTCGCCCGCCGTCACGTAGCTCGTCGCCGCGTATACCCGCTTGCCGAGCACCTTTTCGCGGTGCAGCACGATGCCCTTTACAAACTTGCCCGTGTCGGTCGCTGCGTCAAACAAGGGGATGGGCGCGCTGGCCGGCACGGGGAGGCTGAGGCCCCAGGCGTTATCGGGGGGCGTCTGGCGGAACATGCCCCCGGGGAGGTTGGCCATGTAGAAGCCCGGGAGGAAGAAGGTTGCGGGGAGGGAGGTCGTACGGATGTACTCTTCGACGGCGGCCTTGCTGTCAAAGTGGTACACGTCGGGGAGGGCGCCCTTGGATACTATTGTTGCGTGACATGTTAGCGTTCCCGGATCCTCATTCGCAAACGTGACAGATGCATGTATATTCTTGGGAGTGGGCAGGCAGGTTACGTACGCTTGTTGACGTCGAGGAGGGAGCTGAAGATGAAATGCTCGACGCCAGCCTCCAGAGCCGCGTCGGCAATGTTCTTGCCCTGCTGGATCTCCAGCTCCTTGTCCATCTTGTCCCAGTAGTTGGTCACGGCGAAGACGGCCGAAGCGCCCTTGACAGCGGCAGCCAGCGAAGCCTTGTCACCGAGGTCGGCCTGTGTTTTGAAGTCGCAGCACTCGTCAGCATGCCAATTCCAAGATCATTAAACCAAAGCTATGAAGTCGCTCGAAAGCGGATTAATGACTTACAGCGACAACCTCGACGCCCTTGGCCGCGAGAGCCTTGGACGAGTCCTTGGTGGCATCGCGGGTGACGCCGCGGACCTGCCAATCCTTGCTGAGCTTGGCATCGTTGAGGAAGATGTTGACGACGCTGCCGCCCTGAGCGCCCGTGGCGCCGAACACGGTGATGATCTTCTTGGACATTTTCGTGTGTAGTGTGTGAGGTTTCTGTTGTGATGGTGATCTGTTTTACACAAGCGTCAGTTAAGTAGTGTTCGTCTTGCTGCTTCACACTCCAATGTTGGGGAGGTGTTGAACATTAAATACCTTGATCGTGCGACTGAATTGGAGTAGTAAGAGTTGAAGTGCTTTTGGAATGGGAGCTTGATGATCTTCTCCAAGAATCAACGTCAATGAAGCCAAGCGATCGTCCGGTCTTTATACACAATGGCGCTCATGAACCTCTCTGCCCACCCCTCCCCCAAGACGCATATGTCTCAGGACGTGGACGAAGTACATAGTGCTAGACACACCTCGACATAAGCTACCAGATTAGGTAAAGCTAGGGCGCGCGGGAGAACCCCTCATCATCATGCACCTTCGTCTCACCCACAGGGTCGTCTGGTAGGTATACTGAAGAGTGGTAATCTCGCAAGGCTGGGGACCTCGCGCCCGCGCGCATACCTGTTCGCGCTGAACCGTTAGGAGGATTCCTTTCCCCTCTCCACCTTACCTCACCATACTATCATGAGTATGTAAGCGGCGACTTGGTATGTACCTCATACTGTCGATTTACAATCTACAAAAGTCTATCGTACTGAAGCCCCGCGCGAAATCTGGCCTACCCAGATGGGGAAAAGCCGTATAAGCTACCTACCTTTTGGTTGGACAACTACAAATCAAAAAGCTGTACGTGTTCCCGCAAGCCGTGCATGCTTACCATGTATTGACTTTCCTACCACAGACTAAGCGTAGCTCTAATCGATCTTCTACAGGCTACAGAGTTATGTGTTCTGTACGCGTATGGACCATGGGAACTCTGTAGATGGTTGCTATGCTGGCTCTGTATCCGAAGCAAAGTAGAGAGAGACATGGTGGGGAAAAGACCCCGGACCTCTCGCGCGGGAGCTTACAAAGCCTCGCGGTTCGCCGCGCCTATGAGAATTTCACCCCATCAAGGATCCGCGAGCTTCCACCCCGTACTTGTCATCCCTCCCCCCAAACCGCGAAAGCGAAGTCGCGAGATGGGCCACATGGCATAGCGTGCGCCTACAATATTCCCAAGTTTATCATTGTAATACAAGATTTATCAGTCTGACGAGAACAAACTAGACATTTTAGAAATCCACAATCGCCAAGAACAAGTTGAAAATGGACAGCGCGAGTAGTCGCGCGGCATAGGGCAACACTCTTTCATGTACATTTGTCAGGCGCACGGAGGGTTAGCCGGTTCGGATGTCCGTTCGCTCGCCGCCCCGGGTTCCGGAGTTTCCTGCAACGACCGGGACCACACCCACGCATTTACCACTATAGGTATTCGACAACGACTCTTCGTCTTGTTCAGAACTTCAGATGTGTTTGCCTTCCCCGATCTCGCGCCACAAAGACAAGTCAGTGACATGTTCAGACACACAAACGTCCACGTCTGTTCTTGCGACTGTCATCTGCCCTGCAACGGACAACTTTGTGGCTTGTGGCGCAAGTGAGCTGTCTTCAGCGGAAAACGCCACAGAGCTCGGACTTCTTCACAAGGCGCAGCTACCTGGAACTAAAGATGTGACATGTGACTTCCTTCAAGCAAGCCTCCGTGTTCTTTTGTGTGAAGCGGCAGGTCTAGTCATCAAGGAGTATATCACGAGTCACAACGAGCATGAGCATAGGTAGTCAAGCCACGCTTGTTTGTTTGAAAAATTTGGTATCAATTGGTATCTCCTCCCTTTTGGAGAAGAAGACTCTCTGACTAAACTGTCTTGCAAGAGAAAAAACCAATCATCCTGCCTCCTTTCCATAAAATCGTAAAGAAAAAAAAAGGGCGCACTTTTCCGGGGCCGGTGGGTATCTTCGTCTTAGACGCCGTCTAATGTCGTTTCGCAATCCCCTTGCCCCCAAAGGCGAAGGTAACAGGTACCCTCGCATGTCGAAGAAAAAAAGTCTCAAGTCATTGGATGCCGAAGATCCAATGCAGAAAGAAAAGGTCTTGCTTGGGCTCAATCCAGCGAGAAGAAGAGAAAGTAATCGTCAAACCCCCAATCCCATATATGCAAATCGTGTACTTGTTGGAATACCATCCAAGTAGAAATCAAAACCGCGGAAACACTCAAGACGACAAAGCGAACAAGGAGACCCGGTTGCTCTTGCCGCCGGTGCTTGCGGTCGAGACGGAGTCGGCAGAGAGCCAGCCCTCCACCTGGGAGCGGGTGATGCCAGAGCTCAAGTTGACGCTAGAGTCCAACATCTTGACTGAGACCTGGCCAGAGTCACCATCTAGGACAACAGCGACCTTGGCGGGGGCGCCAGTAGGTCGGTCGAAGTAGTCGGATGAGCCGCCGGGGACGTTGGAGTGGATGGTTGACTTGCACTTGGTATCGCCAGTGGCGAGGACCTCGAGAACGTCGAGCTCACCACAAGCAGGCCAGCAGGAGCAAGAGCTATACTGAGCAACGCGGGGGATGCGAGCGTTAAGGAACCAAAGAGCGGACATGTCGGCGTTGAAACCAGTGGTTCCGTCGAGAGGCATGCTCAGCTCAAAGAGCCAGACTGAGTCCTCACCCTTGAAGCCGTCTAAGATGTGTAAGCAGACAGGAAGGCAGAGCAAGATTCTATGAATTACTTACGGTATGCAACGGAGCCAGGGCGAGAGTATCCACAGCCACCATCGTCGCATGACTTGTCGCTGGCGATCAGGAACTCCTGGTTGGACTTGAGGGTGATCGGCTTCAAGACCTCGGGTGAAGCGGCACCGCCAGTACCCGCGGCATTCAGGTAGGACAAAGAGTTGCCAAAGACGCTGATCCCAGTCAATACACTGTGACTCATGTATAAAGAATCATCTCAAAGTGACACTTACTTGTCGAACTTGCCAGAGAGCTGGCCACCGTAGTTGCCAAGGAACACGATGCCATCAGCAACACCCTGATCAGCGTTGTAGTAGCCGACACGCTCGTAGTCACCACTAACAGAGCCAGAGCCAGAGCTTGAAGCAGCCTTGGAGCTAGCAGGCTGAGGAACAGCAGCAGCGACGGGGGGCTGAGAAGGAGTGGGAGTAGGGCTGGGCGCAACAACAGGAGCGACAGCAGGGGTCGCAGCAGCAGCAGGAGGTGCCGCGGGGGTAGGGCCAAAGTAGTTGTTGATCCAGGATACGACCTTGCCGTCGATTTCCGCAACGACCCAGTCTTCGCCACGCTTCTCCTCCTTGGGCTCCTCTTTAGGAGACTCGACCGACTTCTTGTGGAGGTGCTGGTGACCGTGATGGCCATGGCGGCGGGCGTGGACGTGAGAAGCGGCAGGGGAGCGCTTGGCCTTGGAAGACAGGCTGTAGATAGCAACCTGCTTCAGCTGCATGGGACCACGGAAGGCGGGCATAAGCTAGGATTTTGTGAGTACTTTTGCGAACATGTAAGTGAATGATGCTGAGAGAAAACAAAGCTTACCTCCTCGTTGAAAGGGGCCAGGGGGCCTGAGAAAGCAACGTCCTCAAAGGTGCAAGAACCATCGTCACCCATGTGGTTGACAGCCTTGTAAGTGCCAGGGTGACCGACATTGGAATACAAGATCTGATCAACAGCACCGCAAAACCAGTTACCACCCTCTTCCTTGGCCGTGCCGGAGCACTGTTGAATGGCCTGGGTAACAGCGGCCGAAGCCAGCATGAGAACCGTGTAAGACTTCATGTTTGTTCTAGTGTCGTTCTCGAAAAGAATGATTGGAATGAATGTCCAGAAATTGAGCTTTGCTGGGAAATTGGAGTGAGTTCCTCTGGATATTTGACCGGCCTCGAAGAGAATTGCAAGTGGCTGGTAAAAGTAATGTAGGAATGTCCCAGTGGTGTATGGATAGGGCCTAGGTTGTTCTTTGACTCGACTTGCGAGATGTGACTGGGTTTGTTAGGAATGTTGGCGTACTCAGTGAACCCTGTTCAACGGTGTGGCGTGTCTTGTCTCTGAATCAAGGACCAAGTGAGACCAAGGATTGAGTGCGTGAATAAGGAATGACTTGAGACGAGGAGTCTCTTGGAAGGAGAGGCGATGCTATTCGATAGCCGGCAGGTCGAAGTTGTGCTTTAACACTGGATCGTGGGAGAAAAAGAGAAGAAGAGGAGATCTGGGATAAGGTGAGTGTGGGAGGGCTGAGTTAATAAATCGACCTAAGCAAACGAGGAAGTTGCAAGAAGGCACATCTTGGGGAACAAGGTTAATGGGTGGATGGAGAAGGGTAGGATCCAATCTGAGGTGGGTGGACTTTGGCCCCGGTGGATAGGTATGGAGTACGGATGTTGGTGGGCAGACGGGCAGCGCCAGCAGGTCACAGCAGACGGGCAGGCACGAACTGCAGAAAGGCAGGAGCGGACCTGCTTCTGGGCAGGAACCAACCTACAGGGGGGGTCCAGTCGCTCCTTCCCTTGGATTTTGAAGGTGAATTGGATATTTACACGCCTCACCGCGGCAAGTGCCTCCTCCCATCCTTCCTTTCCTCCTTCCTTCTCTGCAGACTGCAAGTGAGGAAGGAGGAGTCCAGGAACAGAAAAAGCCGTTGAATCATTGGACAAAAGAGGGAAACAGAACAGAATGGACCAATCCGGGCTTGATTTTTATGAAACACTGGCTTGGCTCTCCATGGGGTCGTACCTTGCAGCCATTGGCAGGGGAGAACCGAGCTAACCTCGATCTCACCTCAGGCCCAGCAACGATACTTTTCTCCCTCCGCTTCGCCCGCGGCTCCCTTCGTACCTCTGTTGGTCAACTTGCTGGTGCCGTGTTGCATTCTGACCACGACCAGCGGCTGCAGAAGCTGAGCAGACTGTTGTCCTGCGCTTACACAGTACCTTACTGTGATTCCATCCATACGCCGTCCGGAAGATGGTGATGTGGGAGCCACCGTAAACGCCAAGGGCCAAGCCAGGCCGTTTCGCTCTTCTCAATGAGGCTTGGAGAGAGACAACCAACCACCGTCCGGCACGCCCAGCTAGACTTCCTCGGCGTTCTGGG